TCATGTGGCCAACGAGTCAACCAACAAATGGTTGACCTTAAAATGGTTTATTACAAGTATAGGTTTCGACTCCATAAGCAGTACAGGTATAAATTTCGACTCATAATCAGCATAACATGATTGATAAAAACAAATGAATAAAAACTGATTATAGAATAAAAAAAAAGCAAAGAAAACCTTGAGTAAGATTTAAAGTTTACAGAATTTGAGTTGAAAGGTTCTGCCAAAAAGAATGGTATGTGTTCACTCACCTAAAAGTATTAAATTAAATCGAACAACGTCACACACACAACCACAGTATATAATAAAGTAAGAAAATCACGAGAACCTTCAAGATAAGTCACATAGTGAGCAAGCAAAAGGAAAGAAAGAAATGAAAACAATTGCCACACCAGAATATCAACTTTATAACAGTTGCCAAATTGAGAATCTATTTTAAAAACAAGAGTGAATTGTATAGGGAAAACTTTATTGAACACGATGTGTACATATATATGAATCGTTTGTTGGACACGAAAAGCTGCGTCAAAAACTGTCCCGCTTGGTGGATAAATCCGTCTCCATGTTCCCGCCACACCAGGCATTCCTAGAAGATCCAAGTTTTCGCTGTATTATTATTTTTTTTTATTGGAACACGATTTTTAATCCCCCAAGCGTGACATCTGTCTTGCGTTTTGATTTTGCAAAATCTTGCTTCGCGAAAGTCGGACGTTGTTCGGTGACGCACTGTACACCTGGTACGGTACGCTAAGTTACCCTAACAGGTTGATTAATTCAAATTACTTGATACCACAGTCGTGAGTCGAATCATAAAGCATTTTAATTCACGTAGGCACAAGACGCCTAAATTTTCATTGTTACGGGACCTGGTAAAAGTAGGGCGTTTTTTTTTTGGAAATTGTGGGTAAAATATATTGTTTTAGTCTTCGTGTCCGTATATTATAGCATTTCTCTCTTGTTAAAAAGATATCGCCAAGCTGATTATAGTTGGTGTCAAATGATAATTTTCCAACCGAAGTTGCCAGAGTTGGTGCATACATGTTATAATCCTATTTAAACCATGACTAACGGGAATAAAACATTTTCTTGCTTTTGATACGCCTGTTTTTTGTTGTAATTTTGATAATGAATATATTTTGATTTTTCTGGGATGTTTGCTCTGGATAATTAAATTAAAACCAGTCTCAACTCTAGTAATCGATTTCCAATTTACAACGTTTAAAATCAAATATTTTTATCAATCAGTTAATATGAAGGGATATTAAATACGTGGTATTTTTTTTATGCTTGAGGCTTTGACTGAATGAAGCATTTGGTGCTATAATTTAAGCATAATTGTCAGTAGCCCTTTTATTAGGATACGTAATATTTTCAACAACTGGAGCGAGGCTATAAATTTAAAAAAAAGTAGGCAGAAATACCTATACCTACATTCATTTCATATTTATGGAGGGGAAGAAACCCTACTTCGTTTATACTCCAATGAAGCAACAAATTACGACAGACGGACTATTTACAAAGATTTAGTGACATATTTGACAAGAAAGATCAGCGTGCAAGATCAATTCTTCACTAGGTCAGGCCAGTACAATATCGAAATTTTAAGAAAACGACGGGGCAATAATTTGCCGGTAATCGTTCTTGGAAGTAAAGCAGGTGATCCAAGGTTCGAGCAATACAAATACTTCCACAATTCATTTTAAACTATATATATTTACGGATGAGTGGAATTACTAAAGCGCCGAATTCAAAACCTAAAAACCACTCCAATAGATAAATTCCACATCAATTTAAGATAAGCTGTAGGAAATTTTATTACTTACATGAAATGAAAGGAGGGTTGCCAACATACGCACATCGATTTTATGGCAAAATTCCACACTATTTAAAATAAATATCTATTTCATTGAATAAAAATGCTGGGTTTTGTTTGCTGGTGTTTTGGATTTAATTTTAGAAAATGTTTTTTCTTCCAGTGTTACAATAAATTCTTCATTGTTTGTTGAATAGAATACCGTGTTACAATTAAAGTTATGGGAAATGGGATTTTAATTGAATCCACATTCAGAATCGTATATTCAACACACGAAACAGCATTTTTCACATGTCTGATTGCCTACGAGGTCATCTAGAGCAGGGGTTCTCAAACTTTTGGTCTTGCGGAGCCCGTGAAGAGGTTGACTATTTTTCACGGAGCCCCAAAATCAATTTTAAAATTGTTACTTACCGATTAATATTCCTGAGTAAGTTAAAGGTACTTTACGAATTTATAAGCTAAACCTTTTTTAATGGGGTTAATACAAGCCATAAATAAATCTAAATTTCACCGATAAATTATATATATAAAGGCTGTAAAATATTAATAAATTAGGGGTTGAATCTCGTCCCTTTTGATATTTTTAAACGACTTAAAAGGTCGCTAATAACGTGCGCTATTGCATTTTATTACAATCGCCGACTGTTTTCGTCAGCGTGGCGTGTTTTTTTAAACCTTAACATCTTTACGTCGGTGTTTATTCTCCAAAATCAAAAATTTCCTTCAGCATATACATGTATTGTTCCACAATGACGACGATAATTGCTCTTTTGTTCTCGTGGGGAATTATGAGTTCAATGTGAAAACATCGTTACCATATTATAGTCATTGCTTGATCGACGACGAGAGGCTAAACTTTAATTGTAACACGATATTCTATTCAACAAACAATGAAGAATTTATTGTAACACTGGAAGAAAAGAAAACATTTTCTAAAATTAAATCCAAAACACCAGCAAACAAAACCCAGCATTTTTATTTCATGAAAATAGATATTTATTTTAAATAGTGTGGGATTTTGCCATAAAATCGATGTGCGTAAGTTGGCAACCCTCCTTTCATTTCATGTAAGTAATAAAATTTTCTACAGCTTATCTTAAATTGATGTGGAATTTATCTATTGGAGTGGTTTTCAGGTTTTGAATTCGGCGCTTTAGTAATTCCACTCATCCGTAAATAGATATAGTTTAAAATGAATTGTGGAAGTATTTGTATTGCTCGAACCTTGGATCACCTGCTTTACTTCCAAGAACGAATACCGGCAAATTATTGCCCCGTCGTTTTTTTGAAATCACGATGTTGTACTGGCTTGACCTGGTGAAGAATTGATCTTGCACGCTGATCTTTCTTGTCAAATATGTCTCTAAATCTTCGTAAATAGTCCGTCTGTCGTAATTTGTTGCTTCTTTGGAGTATAAACGAAGTAGGGTTTCTTACCCTTCATAAATATGAAATGAATGTGATCAGAATGCACACGGATTGAACTCATTTTATGTGAATTATTGTATTTAGCTGATATTTTCTTCTGTTATGAACCCAGGGTTATCTGTAAATGTTATAGGTAGGTATAGGTATTTCTGCCTACTTTTTTTAAAATTTATTGCCTCGCTCCAGTTGTTGAAAATATTACGTATCCTAATAAAAGGGCTACTGACAATTATGCTTAAATTATAGCACCAAATGCTTCATTCGGTCAAAGCCACAAGCATAAAAATACCACGTATTTAATATCCCTTCATATTAACTGATTGATAAAAATATTCGATTTTAAACGTTGTAAATTGAAAATCGATTACTAGAGTTGAGACTGGTTTTAAATTAATTATCCAGAGCAAACATCCCAGAAAAATCAAAATATTTATTATCAAAATTACAACAAAAAACAGGCGTATCAAAAGCAAGAAAATGTTTTATTCCCGTTAGTCATAGTTTAAATAGGATTATAACACGCATGCACCAACTCTGGCAACTTCGGTTGGAAAATTATAATTTGACACCAACTATAATCAGCTTGGCGATATCTTTTTAACAAGAGAGCAATGCTATAATATACGGACACGAAGACTAAAACGATATATTTTACTCACAATTTCCAAAAAAAAAATATCTTGGACGAAGGTGGAACTATGAACCATCGTAATTTAACATCGTCGGTACCCGGACGTCCCTACTTTTACCAGGTCCCGTACCAATGAAAATTTAGGCGTCTTGTGCCTACGTGAATTAAAATGCTTTATGATTCGACTCACAACTGTGGTATCAAGTAATTGAAAGTAATCAACCTGTTAGGGTAACTTAGCCTACCGTACCAGGTGTACAGTGGGTCACCGAACAACGTCCGACTTTCGCGAAGCAAGATTTTGCAAAATCAAAACGCAAGACAGCTGTCACGCTTGGGGGATTAAAAATCGTGTTCCAATAAAAAAAAAAAATACAGCGAAAACTTGGATCTTCTAGGAACGCCTGGTGTGGCGGGAACATTGAGACAGATTTATCCACCAAGCGGGACAGTTTTTGACGCAGCTTTTCGTGTCCAACAAAACAATCCATATATATGTACACATCGTGTTCAATAAATTTTTCCCTATACAATTCACTCTTGTTTTCAAAATAGATTCTCAATTTGGCAACTGTTATAAAGTTAATATCTTGGTGTGGCAATAGTTTTCATTTCTTTCTTTCCTTTTGCTTGCTCACTATGTGACTTATCTTGAAGGTTCTCGTGATTTTCTTACTTTTTTATATACTGTGGTTGTGCGTGTCACATTGTTCGATTCAATTTAATACTATTAGGTGAGTGAACACATATCACTTCTTTTTGGCAGAACCTTTCAACTCAAATTCTGTAAACTTACTCAAGGTTTTCTTTGCTTTTTGTTTATTCTATAATCAGTTTTTATTCATTTGTTTTTATCAATCATGCTATGCTGATTATGGAGTCGAAATTTATACTTGTACTGCTTATGGAGTCGAAACCTATACTTGTAATAAACCATTTTAAGGTCAACCATTTGTTGGTTGACTCGTTGGCCACATGATATAGGCTACAGTATGGCTACAGTAAAATAAATTTGTAGTAGCCCACACGTCCCCCGATGTCATTTCTAGCATATGCCATTTCGCAAGTACAGCAGTTAGCTAAGAAATCATTTGGTCATTTGGATAGTTTCACCAATGAATAGTCATTTTATATAATTTATTCTTCAAAATTTAACATATATACAATGAGAAGTTAATTAAATGAATCTAAAATATCAATAGCAAAATTATAATTAGGAAAATGAATTTTATCAAAAGTCAAAACGAGGCTAACAATCGAAAAAAAAAAACAGGAACAAACGAGGAAATTATTTAAAATGTAGTGGAAGTTTTAAAAACTTTCTGAAAGAACCGTATCGATGTAAAAAGCAATATTTTATACAGTGTTTTTATTATTGGTTCACTTTCCTAACACGTTGTAGGGCTCTTCACAGAGTTTATTAGGATCGCCTCTTTGAACAATTCTGGTCTTGCATTCTCCTACAGGCACAGCCATACATGACGGATGAAGATTATCATATGAATCAAATCTGGAAATAACATGGATGAAGTCAGACATTAAACATATACACAATAAGCCATAATCAAAACACATTTTAACTGAATCCCATGTTCAATGTCAGGGCTGCCACGTCAAATTTGAAAATCGATAATTTTTTTCATAAAATTGCGAGAAAAACTTACCATTTGATCATCGTTGTATATATCGCGATTGAAAAATAAATATTTAAAACAAGCTTACCTACTACAGCAGTGTGTTCTTTTGTAAGTGTAGAAATAATATACGTTTTGATAAGTTATTGATTCCAGTTCTTGAGTTACTGGATCATAAGCGGGCAATGGTAAGGTTTCGCATGTAATATTGGCAATTTCTTCTTCCCGAATTTCGACCTCTTCAGCAGGAAGGAATGATATTTGTCCAAAAGCAGCCGAATATTCGGATTTTTTTACTTTCACTTTATCTGCAATGACTTGACAACCAAGCTGAATAAAACAAACAAAAATTTCTACAAGACAGTATTAACGAGGTAAAATCAGGTAGGTTATCCTAGGCTTTGAGAGATTAAAAGACAAACTAATCTATTATTATTTTCCAAATTTAAAATGTAGTTGTATGTGATAGGAGCAAATGTTCTATAGTTCTAAAGTGAATTCATAAGATTTAGATAGATTAATTAGGACTGCCTGACATAAGAAAGCGCTTAAAGGAAATCATTCCAATCCCAGGAAAAGATAAAGAAGGACTGCGCGGTACAATTTTTTTCAAATTATTTTCAACTCACCACGTATTGCCTCGATTGGTAGCATTTGCAGCTGTAACATGGATGCCCTCTTGGTTTCCACCTGTAACCATTCTCATATATTTGATGTGTCACTCCGTCTGTACATCCAGGCAATTTGAAACAATCCGACGAAACTCCCACAGCGAGACAAACAATGGAAAAAGCAAAAAATGTAGAAATATACATCTTGGTCAAGTTTATTACGGAAAGTAAATACAAAAGCAGGAAGAGCAGACTAAAAACAAATGCGGATAATATGGTATGTGTAAGAACAAAAAGGAGAGGCGATGTTGCTGAAGTAGGGTTTAAAAGTACAGTTCAATATCCGCTCGGTCACAATTACGCGGAAATGGCGAAAATCGGTAATTTAGTAGCCGTTCTTGAATTTGTTCTAATTGATTTTAAATTACAATCAATGCGACAAAAGGGAATAAATAAATAAACGAATAGAATAATTAAAATATCTCTTGTTATTTGGTTAATCAGTCAAATTATTTATAAATGTGGTATTCCTGTAGGACAAAGCTATTTTTCAGATTGTTTTTATTTCCTATTTTAAACATTCTGAATTAGACTGCTCTCTAGTCTATATAACTCGAAAATGTTTGCATGCGATTTCGAACACCACGTTCCTAGTACAGGGAAGTTTTACATTCACAAATTTTTCTGTTAACAATTCCTAAAAGTTTTTGCCAATTTGATGTCCTGAAAGAAAGTTAAATCTGCAAAAATATGATTAGACAAACTTTATTTGGCCACTTTTATACTTTTTGAATAATAGCTGAAGGCAAAATATGTTATTCAATGCACGATCTTTATCTTGTGGTCGGGTGTGTAATGTGCAACTTCTGACGTCAAGCATTCTTCTCACTCGGATCAGCGGATGATGATATTTTGATTTAGACTGACAAGATAAATTCTGACTACATAAGAGTGTTGTCGCGAATTGGTGTTAAAGAGGAATCAGCCGATAACATGGGTTGTTATTTTCTTTAAATAAATATATGAAAAATATATATATGATTCCGTTCTCCAGTCAGCGTTAGTATTGAACGGTGAGAATTAAAAATCTTTATAAACGTGAACGGTATTAAAACACCATTAAATGTGAGGAACTTTTCATTGAACAAACTCGTATGGTAAACCAAATGGTTTTTTATATGCCTGGTGATCAATTAAGTATCAACACATATTTAAACCCACCCTGCTGATAGAGTAGGCTGTACTCACGTTCCATAAAATAAAAATTGAAGTGAAAAGTTGTGAAACATGATAACAAGCGCCAGAGTCAATTTTAATGCTGCTCGTGTCAAGTACTTTATATACAATATAACATTTACATACATATGCACATATACATGTTTACATACATATGTAAATGTTGGTTATTATATATGACATAATTTATACAAAGGTATAACACTCTGTTTTTTCATAAAGTAAAAGCGTTGTTACAGACTATGTGATTAGCTTCAACGTCGCTATTTTAGTCAAACAAACATCTATAAGATAGTAGATAGGTATGTTTTCAAAAACGTGCGTGATTTCACCAAGGACGACAATGTCACTCCCGAGATAAAGATCAACAACTTGTATGCGTCATTTTTATATACAGCTAGGTTGTACAGACTTATAATTCGATTAGTCAGAGAGAAAAACTATGTAATACATATAATTGAAACCGATTGTAACCGACCCGACTTACCATTGCATCCTGCTTTATCCAACCATAAATATCCACTACCACAATATGCGATGATTTTGCGTCCATGAGACATGATATTTGTGTGGACGATGAGATGATAAACAAATATAATTTTTTGATTGGTACAACAAGATAAACAAAGTCATATTCTCCTAAAACGCATTAAAGCTTACGAGGTAGAAAATGTCATGAAAATGGGTATTATGGCATTTATGTAGGCGAGACAAAATTACGTTTCATTTTGGCAATTACGCGTAAACAATATTGTTCGGTCTTGCACTATCTTTTCAACAATTAGGGAACCAGGATAGAATATATGCATACAATTTGACTTTGACAAAAAACGCTGGAAAACATTGCAAAGCAAATTGTTATTTGTTTCATTTAAAACAACGCTTCTATACTTCTAAACTAAATTATGCTTGGGTTGATAAAAGGTCATTGTCACAACAAAGAGCATGAACTCTTATAGTATGAAACAAACAGTTCCAAGTCTGTAAACGAGTGCAATAAATTTCAAAAATTCATATGCCTCAATATACTGTGGTATTTTGATGCCTCATTGACGTGCATGCTTTAAGGAAATTTATTTTATTATACTAATCTATGTAAATTTCAAGTTGTAACATGAACTTTACGTTTAGGTGGTAAACACAAAGTGACTAATGACTGTCGTCATAAATGTGAACGCGCTATGGAATAACAAACTAGATCCAAAAGTTTTCCTATGCAAAAACGAGGTTACGATGAATAAATATGACTTGGTATTTTTGAGGATTTTTTATATACTATTAGTGATACACGATGAGAGCTCTCATGTAAATCAAACTATGAAAGAGTAAAATATTTTTAAAAAGAACATCTAGAAATACATGTCTGTTTAATGATGTGCGTGCTTTCAAGGGGTATATCTGAGGTCATTTTAAAAATCACTGTGCGATAAATATCAATACTAATATTACGCGTCTTTTATTTGTGATATATTCGTACTTGTCTCGACGACATTATACACTAGACAGTGCGGTGGAAACCAGAGTGACCTCATTGGATCCAAAACACGCAGTTAGTCAAACCATAGTGTTTAATTGTGAAAACACATACACCCTAATAGCATCATAAAAAATTTAATTAGAATAATATGAAACTTGATATCAATGCCAAGGTTGCTAGAGTTATCGTTTTGTACTTGTCTCGACTACATTATACACTAAGTACTAGACAGTGCGGTGGAAACCAGAGTGACCTCATTGGATCCAAAACACGCAGTTAGTCAAACCATAGTGTTTAATTGTGAAAACACATACACCCTAATAGCATCATAAAAAATTTAATTAGAATAATATGAAACTTGATATCAATGCCAAGGTTGCTAGAGTTATCGTTTTGTACTTGTCTCGACTACATTATACACTAAGTACTAGACAGTGCGGTGGAAACCAGAGTGACCTCATTGGATCCAAAACACGCAGTTAGTCAAACCATAGTGTTTAATTGTGAAAACACATACACCCTAATAGCATCATAAAAAATTCAATTAGAATAATATGAAACTTGATATCAATGCCAAGGTTGCTAGAGTTATCGTTTTGAAAATCAAGAATGATTTGAGACATTACAAATTAATGGAAATCATATCGTATAGATAGCAATATCTTTACATACATTTTACCAGTGACCAAGGATAAAGTGACAACGAATGGTGCCAAAAATAGGTTTTGACAAAATTAATTTATTATCATTATGCTGACGATGAAATGTTACAACGGCGCATCTCCGCCATGCTGCTCCCTGTTCCAACAGCTCATATTGGTACGGATTTATTGTTATATAAAGTCATTCATAATAAGCGGCGATTTTGCCAACGTCAATCCAAAATGAGTAAGACACACGAAATCCGGATAAAAATGCTATTATTAGACAACTAAATAAAACAAGCCAGCATCGAGGAATCAAGAAAAATACAGCCAGGCTGTATAATATGTTTTGAAATCATGGACTTTTACAGACGTCGAAAATGAAAAAGTATATGATTTTTAACCCTTTCGAATCTATTGTTACATAAAATTGATTAAATCGCCAATAGCGCATATTAACGAGCTGGCGCATCCGAAGAACAGCTGAATATCCAAAATAATGTGCTTGATGTAATATTATTGAAACAAGCAATACAATATATTTTAAATATTAAATATTCTTTGCACAAACTCTTGCATCAGAGATTATCAACCTTTTTAACTCACGACTTATGTACTTTTTGTAATAAAAATTATATATATGGAAAAAAAATTCCTTTCATTAACTTTAAATTACGACATGGAGGAAAGTTTTCTGATATATGCACATTCAATCGAAGCGTTATTTGAGCTGGATTGTACGGCATAGTCATTCGTACTATACTTTCAATTTAACAATTTTGATTTGAAAAGATTTGATCATTTTTTGTCAAGTTCTAAGCACGAGAATATAAAAATGTTTTTTACGAAATGCAAGAATATTTTGCGACGCACTCGAAATTATCTGCCACGCACGGTTTGGAAACCAATACCTCACGCGGACAAATCTTTCTTCCATTTTATTATTCTCAATTAGAAAACTCCAAAGAAAGGCATATATATTTTAAACTATATTTTTAAATTGAATGGCGACGATCCGACAAGGAAATGATTCATACTCAAAAAGTGGTTTTTCCTCGAAGTATATTCATCAGGTAACGTTTATTCCGTTATTACTTATCATACTCAAAAAGTGGTTTTTCCTCGAAGTATATTCATCAGGTAACGTTTATTCCGTTATTACTTATCCTAATCTTGATAGTGAACTTGAATCATATGCGATAAAATATGGTTTGTAGAGTTAAAATCGATGAAAAAAATTATTTAATAAAAGTTACGCATAATAAAAAGTTAAACAAAGAGCGATTAAAAAAACTGTCTGATACACTCCTAATGTAATATCTTAAACAAATGTAATTCATTAACGGACCTCCAAAAGTATGCGCACCAAGATGGCGCACAACCTGAACACAGTATGTGTGTGTACCGGTTAGGATTCAGGGTGTGCGACATCTTGGTAGGCATACTTCTGGAGCACCTCAAGGAACATATGCACGACATTGGTAGTTTATGTGTATTGAAAATGTGGCCAAAATAACTCAGTAAAATGTATTTTGGCAGCACAAGTCAACAATTTACTGTTGATGGATTATGGTAAATTTTGTACAATTGAATAATGAATTTTGTCGGATTGGGATTGTAAGCCATATTTGAAACTTGATCTCTTCATCCCTAGGAAAATATAAATTCTTTCAAAAGATTACCAAATAGTTAGATCCGTTTATTTTCCAACTATAAAGCTATTTACGTATCTTAGTGACTTGCGGATCACATATTAATAACATGAATCAATCTGTTTTCTGTTATTTAGATTATTATGTTGATAACTGTATATCTACATCCATATATGGAAAAAATGTTAGCTGTTTTAATTTGAGTTGTTTATATGTTTAGAAATTTCCATCACGGCGCTCCCAATAAAACAATAGGCGCAAATCATTCGCGT